AGCAGAAGAAGCGGATGAAGTAGCCATAGGTTTGGGATTAAAAGTGCCGAGTCAGTCGGAAAGGCTGAATTCTCTCCCCTGGTGAAAGTGCTTTTATGTGTTTGGTGTCATTGCAGAGGAACAGTGATGTACGAACCTGTTCCATTTGGCTAACCAGCAACTCTGGAGAAGGTGTGTGGGCAGATCACCCTACTCGATGCTGAGATCCAAGCAAAAGACATTCCTCAAATGAAGTCGAATTCGTTCCACTTATTTACACTTTTTTGACAAGTGCAATGAAGTGTTTGAAGTAAACGACGGCCGTCACTACACACAACTACACTAGCCTCTTGCGAAATTTGTGCATCATAAGTAGCCCAGATAAAGGCTAACTTGGTTGAATGTGCAAATAAGCTGAAACGCGTAGAACGAAGCCAATTGATAGAAATGTGGGCAATTTCAATAAAAACTCCGTGAGACCACCAACACCGGTCATTGCAGCATCACCACAGCTTCCTGCTTTATTTTTCAGCACCGAGCCATATTGGTTCGTGCTGGAATACATTTTATCAGGGAACCAGAGAAATATGTGACTTGGAATCCACTTATCAGTGACTCATAGGTAGTCACTAGGCCAAGTCATCGGTCGAATTTCCCTTAAATTGGGTTGGATTTGGGTACCTGACCCATACTAAGCCCACATCGTTCTCCTGCAAAATCCTACAGCCACCAAATTCCCCTGCAGACCTGTTGGCTCCCCAAATCCACAACTAGTAGTGTTGGAATAAATACGGACCGATTGGGAATCAGTTAAGAATCAACTGGCCCCTGACGCCCTTGAACCCCTTCACCCTTTAATCCCTATCTCTGCGAGACTGGATTAATTTGGCCTTATCACCGGAAGAGAGGATGAAGGCTGGACCACCCGGCACTAGCTCTGGTAGTTGACGCAAGCAGACGCACCCACGAATGAGCAATAATGAGGCGCTTGCATGCGTGTGACGGACAGGCGGCCTGCGCCGGAGGCACATTGTTAGAAAGACGGACAGGATGCAGCAATTTAATTGGGCTATCGGGTGAATGCGCGGTGCGCGCGTTAATTAATTGTGTGTGCGTGTGTGTGTGTGTGAGCTTGTGTAAGGGAAAAAAACTCCCACACGCAAACGGTACCTGTGCGACTCTCCTTCTAGCGACATGCTCATGCACACTGGTGAGTGGACGTTTTTGCCTTTTCCCTTTATCAACCAATTTTTTTTTATTTCTGTTTTCGCCCTTCCTTTCTGGTTATCTGCATTTCCGGCCTCCGTGATTTTACTCTGTTAACATCCGGAGAATTTTTTTTAATGTACGAATGCGATGGCGTGGATAAAAGAGGAATAAATTGGGCCAAATATATTTTTTTAGTTAAATTTATACTACCAGTTCCAAGTTAAGATGCGGGCGTCAAATGTGGTAAAATTGAAGCAAATCCCCAACAAAGTGAAAGGTCAAATGTCAAAAATAAAGATTTGGGAACATTTCCTTACGTGAGGATTTTCAGGGGACAGGGTGGTCCTTACTTGTTAGGTTAGATCTCCTTTGTAAGTTAAATATTTTTTCACTCTACGGCAGGAGAATTTATCCTGGGCCCGTTACCGGCCGGTGATTATTTTAACAAACTCTGTGTTTACACCCGAATAAACAAACATCAGGGCCGTTTTATTTCATTCCTTAGACAATGGCATAACTAACTTGACGGATCTCTGCGGTTTCGGTGGGCACCAGGGGGCCCCAGCGCTTTCCCATGGGTTTCCCTTCGGTTTGCCCGTCCATCGATTTTCTCCCCCAGGTGGACCGCACCAAAACCCCCAAAACCAAGGCCCCCCTGGAGCGAACGGAATCGCCAGTAGCTCCGGAAGCACAAGTGACTTGAAAGCGAAGAAAGCCAGACATAGGTAAGGTCCGCCATTTTTCTTCTTCAGGGAGTTAAATTTTTTCTGCTAACAATAACTTTGGTTGAGTCGAAAATCTAACAGTGTTAAGTTTACTAGCCTAACTACTCATTAAAGTATTCAAAATTATTATATATGATCTGGCCGCATTGGGTAAATTGTTCCTCTCAAACATGTCGCTTCCTTAGTGACATTTCAGAAGTTAGTGTATCAAAATCAAAATAAGTATACGTTCCAGCGTATTGTGGAATTTAAAGTGCATAAAATTTTTCCCCACAGTTTATTATAACGCAAAGCTACACTTCTAAATTTATACTGTTATTAAAAAGGTGGAGGCGGTGGTTCGAGGAGCCAGGTGCAACCAAATTCCACAATAAGTAAGCCAGATGAGTCGAAGTAACTTCCCTATGTGTCAACACAAACCCAGTAAATACCACTTTGCCAGTAGCCAAATAATTGAGTCGCAAGTTTTTTGGTCCCAATAATAAAATAAACAACAGTTGAGAGTACCAATCCACGCATTACCACAATATCGCCATTATTGTAGAACTACATTTTCCGTCTACCAACTGTCGGTTCTGGAGTCCGCGTTCGACATGTGTCCCTACCCTGACGCCCTCACTCGCGAGGACATCGCCAGTCGCCTGCAGCTCTCCGAGTCTCGGGTGCAGGTTTGGTTCCAGAATCGTCGTGCGAAGTGGCGCAAGCAGGAGACTGATGGCACGGGGGGTCACGGGAGTAGCCCTGGTGGTGGTGGAGCCGGCGGCGGCGGCAGTGGTGGCGGCGGTGGTGGTGATCCAATCGACTACACTGCAGCGGCATCAGTTGTCAGACGCAAGCGAGCCTCCCCTGGGGACGAGGGTGGCGACCAGGCCGGGGGACCGAAGCGCCTCGCATTTTCTGTCCACAGCCTCACCGAAAGCGATGAAGCCTTTGAAAATGAGTACAACCAACGTGGCGAGAATGCATTTCTCCATCAACCAAGTCAAATGGGTGAGTAGATGCAAATAAGACCGTAACTTCGAACCGGTCACTTAGTCTATACCCTCTATGTAATAATTTTTAATGGTTTTTGTCAAAATTCGCCTGCTCACGGCCAGAGTGTCTGGCGGTCTGTACAGATCATAGGCAGTGGTTAAGGTCTTTTTAGAACCGACCTTAAATTTCATGCCAAACACCACAATTACTGACCTGTTAAATTTTTTCCATAATTAATTGATGCTTTAAAAGTTTCATGCGCTGACTTAGTAAAAGGATACTTTAAGACGTGACAGCGGTAGTTTGAATCGTAACACCTGCTTTTACTATTATCGTAAAAATTATCTCACTATAGTCCTGCCGTAAAACTACTTTAATTGTGCTTTTGTGCCAATTGTAGTCCTCTTTATACAAACGATTTTGTTTTTCTGAGCTCAGTTCTAAATTCTGGCTAGAGCTCGAAAACGAGTCAGCATGAATTAATTAATTAATTAGGGGTAACCAAATTAGCTGTTGGTTTTAATTAATGCGTAAGTGGCTATAAGAGTAGACAGGTTAGACGCACAACAGCCGTATACAGGTGATCCTGTAGTAAAAACTTTGCTGAATAAAAAAAACACGAATGGTTTGGTGGCGATTGGCATTTACAAACCTGTTTAAAACGGCTTCCGAATGACTTCCAAAATATTCGACTCCCATCGTTGACAGGTTTCTACAAGCAGGAAATGGCCTAGAAATCTGCAATTAAAAAGCTACAAGTATTGTAAACCCGTAACCAAACGCGCAATCAAATTGTCATGTGGACTGAATACAAATCGAGACATTTCAATTACTTGGCTGCGATGGGGTGGCCACTGCAATACAAAATACTCTTCAATTCAAGTCCATCGCATCAGGAACCGTGGAACTAGACGCACGTCCAAGCTTATGGAATGGATGAACGACCGTTGAAGGGGTTCCACGTCGAAGTTATACAAAGTGGAAAGAATATATAACATAATTAGTTAAGAAAACGACTGCAATCAATCTTCTTGAGGGCATGTAACGGAGCTAATTTGCGCCCTAAGTGGGTAATTTGTTCACTTACGTGGAGTAAAACTACTGTCGATAGCACGGCTTTACCAACTCGATCGAAATCTGTCCCTCGCATAACATTTCTACTCCTGCACATTGTTGCTAGACCTTGTGGTTACCACAGCAAAGCCCTCTGCGGCATCAAAGGGAATGTACACCAGAATGGTCATTACTGTAATGATAGTTAAAGCAGCTCCCATGGTATTCCTACATGATGGGGCAGAGGGGTGCGTGGTGTGGGGGTGTCCGCGAACGATAAAAACTTTAATGCCACGTAGCCGTCCAATAACCACCAATTATTCACACAGCATCAAAAATCATAATCAGGTGTGGAGATAAGTTCATCGAGGACAAACTTTTCGCCACGCAATGCTCATAATTTTTACTATTGCGCTACACTACAAAGGTGGCTTTTCACAGCATCGATCGATAGCGAAATCAGTTTTTACCCAATAGGGCCACTTACTGGGTTAAAACATGCCAAGTTTTAAATGCTTCCTCGGCAGTACTAACCTAGCAGACGGATTTCAGCAATAGTGGTTGCGATGAACAAGTGTGATTGCATTCGATCCCCATGGCACTGAACAAATATCCCTGACCGATACCGCTTTCTTGCGCATCTTTACGCTACACTGTGGTAGAAAAGGACACCAGCATGGCCGATGTTTGGTGACGAAGATGGCTTCAACACCTTGCGTCAACATCACTGTGGATCGCACCAACTAGAGATTTTACCGCATGTGAAAGTCTAAGATGCTAATATCACCTTAAAAAGGACAAATAATGCTAAGGAACCACGTGTTTTATTGCGACCAATGCTTTGATGAGTAGCACCGAGTCCATTCCATAAAAATCCGCGTTTTGTTTTAGCTGGAGGCACTTTCCTCCGTTACCTCTGTTCCTTGTTCTCCACAAACGGGAGCGGACCTTCCCCCGAGAGGCTTCCGCTTTCCTCGAACCCCCTTCTATCCCTTCCCCAGTACCCCTTCCCAGTGCAACCCCGCGCCGACCTCCCAATGCCCCTCTTTTCTCCTCCTCCTCCCCCACCGCCGCATCATCCCCCGTCGAAATCAGCGCCAACTGAACCTCAGAGAGTGGAGAACCGGTGTCTTGATAGCTCCCTCGACTCGAGGTACCAATTAGCCAAGAAGTTCCTCGACTCTCTCATCCTCCAGAAGGCAGCTTTTGAACAAGTACAAAAACGCGAATCAGATTAGCCTCTTATGGGGTGTGTTTGTGTTTGTCTGAGTGTGTATTCCTTGGACTGTGTAGTGTCGATGGATTACGTGCAATACATTCCTCTTTATAAAAAGACTGCTCCTCTTTCAAAAGAAAAGAGACATACATTTGGTGGAAGGATTTGGTTATGCAGAAAGAAGCTGATTAAAATGGACGGAAATCTGGTAATTGGGGTTGGGGAAGCCCGGTCCACTTTGAGAAGTAATAATCCCGAATAGATCAAGCTGGCAACAGGGAATTGGACTCACAGGCATGTCTGAATCAAAAAAGTGGCTAACTACAGTTGTAGCTTAGCTTTGAAATCACAAATAGAACCCTCTGAGAAGAAAATACGAGTCCCCTAAGTGATTGTTAGGATTTACATCACTCATGGTGATTGCGATGGCACAGCGGCTTAGTCACACCTTGACTGGGTAACTTGTCTAACCATTTTCAGCATTCTTAACTTTCCCGGCGGTGGCAGCGTGTGCACACACACACACACACAAGCCCCAAGAGGCGATATTACAGAAAGGGAGTCGTTGTTTTACGACAAATTGGGCATTTGCGTGATGTGAAGGCATAATTTTATCAGTTAAGAGCGTTTCGATAGACCAAAGTGTGTTTCCACTGGCCCTTTTTACTGTCAATGCAACGATAACACAACGTCGTAATTAACGGACCGTGGGCGATATTTACGAGAGGGTTTCCAGTAATATTTAATTATCCAAATTGGCTAGCTAAATTCGAGTGACTAATTTCAACCCCTTAAATCCAATGACATTACTCAAATGTCGGAAGGTTTCATAAATAATTTTGACACTCCACGTCGATCGTCACAAGTTAGTGTTCCGTTGCCTACGAAAACTCCTAGCCTCGTCAACAATTGTTCATTTTCTCCTGTAGTCTTCATTCTGACATGTCCCACGTCCTTAATCTTCAATCGTCATTCGACCCACTTCTACACCACGTATTGGTGACTTGCATGCCAAAATATTGTCACCTTTTGTCTTCATAACGGCGCAACGTAAAACTATTATCCAGGTCTTCACCATATCCTTAATCTGCATATCGGCACTCCGAACTCAGCGTTTGGAATAAGCATCTGTTTAGGGAAGGGCTGAGCCAGCCAATCAAGTCGGCGTCAACAGTTGTTAAGGGGCCATTGTGGGACTCTGTTGCACACCGGGACAGCTAGAAAGGTACTAAGGTCACGATCACTGAAGACCACGGATGCATGGCATTTTAATTGGTGCTTTGACTTGGCTGCGTGTGGTTGCGTTTTGCATGCAACCAGTGGCCGTGTGTGTAGCCATGCTAACCACCCGAACAGTGTCGGCAACACAAACAAACGGAGCGCTGAAATGTAGAGTAAGGAATTACCTGGACTTACCCTAACACAATTCACGGCATACATTAACGTCATTCGCCCCATCACCCTCTAACTTAAAAGGTTACCATCGTTAATTTCAGTCTTCGATCGTCGAAATTCCCCTGATCAGATGAGCTAAACACATGTACACACACGGACCAAACAACAAACTACGACGTCATCAAGGATATCTTTTCAACTGGCCTAAAGGATCGCAGAAAAATCACCTGTTAGTAGTTCCAGAAAGAGAAGCAGGTAAAACCATGGCACCCAATAAACTTGTATCAAAGGGGAGACCAGTTGAGTGAGTCTGGCTGGCTGGTCACCATTTCACCTTCAATCGGCCGCCCTGCCAGTCTGAAATCGTTATGAGTGTCCAGTATGCCTCGGCACGACACGAATTTACCACGAGGTCATTGTGGAATCCTCGCGACAAAGCAGAATGTGCCCAAGACAACTACCACTACTTCACTCAGGTCATCCGTGTATCAATAAAAGTGATTTCGCTGCCTTCATAGACTAGTTGATACAGCAGCTCATGGAGCAGAAATTGGCTGTATACACAACGACGATGTCATATTCTACCATTTAAGAAACTGGTCACGCATCCAGTCATGTAATAGCTCCTTGGGGAGGGATCAGCACGTTCTGATTCCAGCTGCTCATCGTCCGATTGAGTGTGCAGAAGTGGAGAATTCACACAATTTTCCCACAGAGGCTGAATTGGCTGGCTCAAGCCGACACGAATAAATTTGTGCTTAACCGGCCTTCCAGTCGAGTTGGTAGATTCCTTGAATTCATCGGTAAAACTGATTCATCACTGAAACGGCAAATAATTTATTTCCCTCAATGCGTTTCTGTGTTTTTCGGGACAGGCTCTCGTGTTAGTCGTCCATCGAAGTATTGCATGCACACTACTGGCCCCCATAATATACTCAAGTGAATAAAAAGGACGAAACTAAAAATACTAAAAGTTCGTATTTTAAGATTTCACCGCATAAATTTCCCCTCTAATTTTCACGTGCTTTGTCAAGGTTGCGCTATACCGAGATGTTTTGTCTTCAAACTCCGTAAATACCATGACTTAGTGCACATAGTCCTATTTGTCGGTCACTTAGTGAGACAAGAAAAGGACAATTATGCACACATCTCGCAGAAACTGCTCATGATTAGTCTGGGAAAATTACGGCTACTTACAGTTGTAAGTAAGTTGAGAGGCGAAACTTCGAACTGAAAAGAGAAGTCGTTTGTGTTCGCGTGCCACAGTTCAGTGAGTCGTGCTAATTCAACTCCATCATCTGTGCCAAGATGTGCCTAGACACTTTGACAGTCAAACATTTTCCATTTATTCATGATCCCGTACAGTGACATCCCCTTTTTAGTGCAATCAGAATTAGTACACACGACCACTGTCTGCATGCGAAACCCACTGATTAAATTGTCATGCATCCGTCGCCTCTGGTGATCATAACTTCCCTCGTTTTCAGTGTGGCGCAATCTGGGGACCCCTGAGTCGAAATGCGTCCGACATTGGTTCGACTTCAGGTACTTAACTCCACTTGATTACCCGCGGAATTTGGAGTACCGATGGTTACGACAACAGGCCCGGATTTGTCGGCGTTCTAAAAGTCAGCTTTGAATCCTTTAACTTCGCCGTTCATGCGGGTTAATACTCCGTAATTGACAGTGCGTTATCAGTGAGCAATCCCTTGGAGTACTCAAGCTATTGACAGTCAACGCGTATACCGGAGCTTAAGGCAACTAGGCATGATTTACGGAATCACAAAAAAATTACACTCACTTCAATCATTCGGTAACTTCTAACGGTAAAATACAATAACTTTCTTTCCAGCCAAGCTAGGAAAATTAGATGGCCTTCTCACCTCATTACTATCTTCTCAGGTTATCGTAAATGTGGGAAGTAGCCAGGGAAGAAGACGTGTCCAATTATAGAAGATTTGTGTCTTCCCAAGTCTCATCACTTTTATTAGAAAAAATTCCATCAACCGTAGAAGGAAGCCAGTTGACCTTGATGGTTGGGCAATTTCACCCGCCTCTCCTTCTCCATTTGTCATGTGCTAATTTGCGATTGTGGCGTTTCATGGGTGGCGGTAGAAGTTTTGGCTGTCGGACAGTCTGGCCCAACGAGGAATTCGACAGCCTGCCAATGCGCTTTTGTTGGGGATCCACGATACCCCAAGGTTGCTCATCGCTGGTTTCAGGCACGATTTACACTAATTCCCTAACATGTGCTTTACTGCGCTTTTTATCAGGTCAAGGCCAACCTTGACTTGAATTAGTTTCACGTTTGACAACCCACTTCGCACGTGGCTGCCGTGTTTAAAGCTCACTACACGAGCTCTGGTCTTGTCTTCGTATCAGCGCGGGAAGGTCGGTCCTAGCGTCAACAAGGGAACTGGTAACGTTATTTAAGTAGGTTTTTTCTTTTGTTACGAGCAAACGTAACAGCTTTGGACCAGACTATTTTTCACGTCGCTACACACTTTAGTGCCAGAAGTAAAGCCAGCATAACGAAATTTCCAAAAAGACGATAACATGACTTTGGTGGAAGAACTTACCTTCGTTCCCTTGGCCGATTTATTCACTTGCTTGATCACTTTAATTTATTTGGTGCCAATTCGCTGAGCCCTGTATGATAGGCCCCAAGTTCCCCAGATTAAACTAACCAGAATCGTTAAAAAAGTACTCATTCGAGTGTAACACTTCTCACTACCAAAATCAAAAGTATGCGTAGCAATGTAATGATATCGATTGCACACGCATTTAAACCAGTGTTTGCGGTTTATTTAAAAGACGCTAAGAATCGGGCGCTGCGAGGCCTCTTAACGCTCCCACAAACATGCTAGAGCGACTATGGCAACTTCGGAAGTACTAACCAAACACCACTCGCTTTGGGGGGGCAATTCAGCTGTGTCGGGGAGTACAGACGGCGGGCGCGGTCTCGGATGGTTGTGTCAAGGCAGCACTTTCGCAAGCCGAGAGAGAGAGAGAAGAGGAGCACGTGCGTGGTCTGGAAAGCACCACCCAACCAGCCAGTCCCCCTTGAATCGGCGCGAATAAACGTAAACACACAAGGCGCTCTGTTTATAGGTGGCCGCACTTTAGTCGTACAAAAAAGCTACACGAACATATCGCAGGCACTGAGAGCATGCTGTAGCGAAGTCAGTTACGAGGACTAAAAAAAGAGGTGACTCATGACTTCACGTCTCATCGGCTTAGTCTTTGCGCCCCCTAAATGATGAATTTGTTGGTGACAAGTTGAAAATTCGCAGAAGGGTCGAATCAGGTTCGATAGACTAGATATTATTGAAGCCATTTCCATCGAAAACCTCTGAACCACTTTTCCTAATGCCTGCAGTCGTGGGTCCAATGTCCGTCAGCGTTTTTCGGGGGCTGTGTTCAATTACCAATTAAAGAGGATTGCTAGACTGTTGACCGCAGACTTACCAAAGTGACGTCATGATTCCAAGTGAAAGTTCTTTTGTTAAGGTCTCATGCTCATGTGTCCTTGTCAGGCGCAGTTATTCCTTACCAGTAGGTTTATAGCATTTTAAACATGGACAGTGATGGGTTATTCACCTTGGTAGAGTATTTAGTGCTCAATCT